GGGAAAACCACTACATCACTCTTCAGTGTGTCTGAGCTGAAACACACGTCATACTGCTGAGTAGCTTTAGAGTAAGACCAGCTCCCATCAGGGTGGGTGGTGATCATTGGGGCGCTGTACCTGCTGAAAGAGCCGTCTGTCCTGTGGCATCTGACAGCTATTAAACTGATGAGACTCAGCAGAAAGATCACCGACACCGACACAATGGCGATCAGCAGATACAGGTTGAGATCAGAGAAGCTGTCCTCCTTTATAGGCACGTGTCTGAACGGAGTGTGGATGTCAGCTGCACTTTCAGCCACCACCACATCAACAGACACAGTAGCTGACAGAGAAGGTTCTCCATTATCACAAACCAGCACCACCAAGGGGTGAGTTTTCAGGTCGTTGTCGCTCATTCTCCTCTTAGTCCTGATCTCCCCGGTGCTGGTTCCGATCCTGAACAGGTTGATTCCTTTGGGCTCAGACAGGTGATAAGAAAGCAGCGCGTTGTATCCAGAATCTGCGTCCACAGCCCTGATCTTTGCTACAAAGTAGCCCACTTCAGCAGAATAGGGGATGGTCTCACTGTTAACAGAACCGAGCTCAGAATAAGGAGCCAGAATAGTTGGACTGTTGTCATTCTCATCCAGGATAAAAACATTTACAGTCACGTTGCTGCTGAGTGGAGGAACACCAGAGTCTGTGGCCTGAACTTTAAACTGAAATGTTTTCAACTCCTCATAGTTAAACGACTGAAGAGTAATAATCTCACCTGTCTCTGAGTTGATATTTAACATAGTTGGCACTGAAAATTTGGAGGGGTACATATCGGTCAATGAATAAGTAAGTTTTGCATTTTCATTCTCATCTGCATCATGTGCATTGACTCTTGTGATAATTTCTCCGGCTTTATTGTTTTCTTTTAAATAAATGTTTATGTCAACTCCCTGGAAAGTGGGTGCATTATCATTGACATCAAAAATATGCACATTAATTACAGCTGTACTAGAAAGAGGAGGGTGACCTTCATCGGCTGCACTAATGGTTACGTTATATAGTGATGCCGTCTCTCTGTCAAGAAGACCGTTAACTACTAATGAGTAATAATTTTTGTAGTTTGACAGTAATTTAAATGGAACAGAACCTTGGATCTTACATGTGGTAAGACCATTTCTACCTCCATCTTTATCACTGACAGTTACTAAAGCAACAACTGTTCCATCTTCAGCATTTTCCTTCACTGGACTCATCACGGACGTGATGGAGATCTCTGGTGCGTTATCATTAACATCAATGACCTCCACCAGCACTTTTGCATAACCGCAGCGAGGGGAGGCGCCTTGGTCTGTCGCACGCACTCTTAATTCATACGCACTGTTTTCCTCATAATCTAAATCGCTGCTCACAATAATCTCACCACTCTCTCTGTTAACTCTAAATTTATCAGGGGAGTCCACAGTTCCTCCTTTCATTAAAAAATATCTAATCTCAGAATGTGCACCCTCGTCTAAATCAGTTGCATTCAATTTTACTATTGTTGCACCTATGGGTATATTTTCATTAACACTGACTTTATATAGGGACTTATTGAACGACGGCGTGTTATCATTAACATCTATGACATTCACGTGGATTTGCATGGTGCCAGACCTCACAGGTGTCCCTCCATCTACAGCTGTTAGTGTTAATTTGACAGTGGTTTGTTTTTCTCTGTCTAAAGCTTTTTGCAGGACCAACTCAGCAGACATGCTGCCCCCTCCGTTGCTCACATCTATAGAAAAATACTCATTGGTGTTTAATTTGAAGGTTTTGATTGAATTACTGCCAGTATCTGCATCAAGAGCAGCTGGGAGGGGATATCTCTCCCCAGCTGGGGATGATTCAGAAATATTGAACACATGGATTTGCTCTGGGAATGTCGGTGCGTTATCATTAATGTCAAGGATGCTGACTTCAATGCGATAAATATTCATAGGATTGCTGAGGAGCGCCTCTATATTTAGGGAACACTTGGGTACATTAGAACAAAGCTCTTCCCGGTCGATCCTGTCGCTCACAAATAAAGCTCCTGTTCTCAAGTCAGCCTCAAAATATGTCTTACTGTGTCCAGATACAATCCGAAAGCCCCGTTCCTCCAGTTGTTGTGCATTAATGTGTAAGTCCTTTGCTATATTCCCCACTAGTGTGCCTTTGTGCACCTCCTCGGGAACAGAGTAGGAGATCTGTGCGGAGGTGCGGTCAGATAAACAAAGAAGAATGGCGAACAGCATCCGTTCGACGTCTATACAGAGATTCCGAGTCATTTTTTTTTTTTTTTTTTTTTTGTAAAGATAGACCCACAGAAGCAAAAAATCAGTAACTCACAAAATAGAATGAAAAAAAAAAAAATCTATAAAAATCCGAGCGCTGCAAATGTCCGGACCATCTTTCTCGAGGGCGACGTTTCCTAACGCAGAGCCGAGAGTAAGAACAGGCTGTTTCACGTTTCACAAAAGAGAAGGAGGAGATTTTGCATGAATATGCAGAAGTCAATGCGCGGTCTCGGCTGACATCTTGTGTTCTTTTTATGAATCACGCACAACAACCAATGACGCACACTCTCACACACATAATTCATTTTAGAAAAGCGTCAGTATATGTTTAAAACAAACAAACAAACAAAAAAACAGCAAAGACAAGAGTTCTAATTTAAAAAAGTGGAACCGCACTTAAAACGCAAGATAGATAGATAAGTGACTTTAAAAAATAAAAACAACAATAATAATAATAATAATTAAAAAAATAAAGTAAAAAATAAATAAATACAAAAATATATATATCTCACAGTTAAGGTATGAGATAGGCGTAAGCTTCCCCTGACCCAACACGGACAAAACGAGTGGGTGAAGAAAGTGGACTGATGAAAGGACTGGCATAAATTGTAAAGAGGTCATGAAACAAAATACAGAACCACAGACAGCCATTTACCAAATAAAGGCACACAATAAATCTGTAACATCGTTATCACTCAATAGGAAACTTGTCCAAGCAATCTAATATATACACTGCCATGAAAGATGCACATTACTCGAAGAATGCTGAGATGGGATGGAATAAACGAAGTCTGGGTGAAACAAAAAACAACAAAAAAACAAAAACACAAATAAACCCCAGAAACTTAAATGAAAAACAAAATTAAAAACATGAGCGTAATTACAAAGATAAATGCAAACTCACCTTGTCACAGTTAGGTAAAGTCTGAGTTCTGGTAAAAGTGTCTCCTCCATTAATACTGATGAGTTCAGCATCTACAGGTGGAAACGCTGCAGGGAAAACCACTACATCACTCTTCAGTGTGTCTGAGCTGAAACACACGTCATACTGCTGAGTAGCTTTAGAGTAAGACCAGCTCCCATCAGGGTGGGTGGTGATCATTGGGGCGCTGTACCTGCTGAAAGAGCCGTCTGTCCTGTGGCATCTGACAGCTATTAAACTGATGAGACTCAGCAGAAAGATCACCGACACCGACACAATGGCGATCAGCAGATACAGGTTGAGATCAGAGAAGCTGTCCTCCTTTATAGGCACGTGTCTGAACGGAGTGTGGATGTCAGCTGCACTTTCAGCCACCACCACATCAACAGACACAGTAGCTGACAGAGAAGGTTCTCCATTATCACAAACCAGCACCACCAAGGGGTGAGTTTTCAGGTCGTTGTCGCTCATTCTCCTCTTAGTCCTGATCTCCCCGGTGCTGGTTCCGATCCTGAACAGGTTGATTCCTTTGGGCTCAGACAGGTGATAAGAAAGCAGCGCGTTGTATCCAGAATCTGCGTCCACAGCCCTGATCTTTGCTACAAAGTAGCCCACTTCAGCAGAATA